CCCTGATATGCGATACATATTCTTCAAAGAAATTGACAAAATGTTTCTATAATGTTTCCTATTTATTGTGTAAAATCTAGCAATCATTTTAGAGACACTAAATGATGACACATATCAAGGTGGTAGTCGAAACGTATACAAAGAATCGTTAATATTTAATTCATTTGTCAATTCAACGATGTAATCTCTATCATGTAATATGTAAGAATGAAACACTTTAGTTTTGTGATTTTTTCAGTTTCTGCGATAAATTTGCAACAACTGACACAATTGCTCATATTTTAGTTTTAGTTATCAGCAAGTCGAGGTCGTGCGTCATTAATTTTGATGAAACGCTTGATTACTTTAATTTTATAGCTTTCTGTTAAATAATTATAATGTGCATGTTGCATAATTTTAATTACCTTTGATTACACAGTACTGCATTTTGTGTACATTGAAGTTCGTTGATACAAAAATACAGTTCTGAAAACAATATGTTCAATTTTTCAAACAATTTTGTAAGTAAAGTCAGAAGATGTTAATAATTCAAGTAATAAATGATAAAGAAATTTAGATCAGATAATATATTACTATTGAACATTTATTTTACAATTTTACAATTGCTGGTAATTGGTGCATATTATTGGTGCATAATTTTGTCTTTTATCTGATTAGTTGCGGTGTATGTCAAAATTTATATTTAATAGAGAAATAATTGTTAGAAAATGTTGCAAATTTTATTTGTTGGCAATATCATAACTTGCCTTATTTTTTATTAGTAATTAAATCAGTTTTATTAATAAAAAAGACTTTGAACAAGTGTAAAAAATACCAGTGTTTAAAAATTATATTAGCATAAAATCTCTTCGGACTTCATTTCCTCAACCAATGCATTTTTTTACTATCTTGCAGAATAAATTTGGTGCTTTTACTTTTATGAAAATAACACTTATTCTATAATGAAGTCTGAAAGTGTATATTTAATGAATGAATAATCTCATACTTTTAAAGGCGTGACTCTATTATTATTTTTTTTAACTACCGGCCCAATTTTTATTGCATGTGATGATAAAAACTGTTATTTGGTAAGTAATTAAAGTTCGTCATAAAAGTAATCGCAGTCGATTGTTTCGTTATCACCATATGTTTTTTTGCACACATGGTATGGTTGTTCAATTCATGTGAATCTGGGCGAAAGATTACACAAACTACAATCATAATACACACACATATATATATATATACATATATATATATATATATATATATATATGTATATATATATATGTATGTATCAGCAGCCCAATCGTCGAATTAAAAAAAAAGATTAAATAGAAAAATTATTTTCATCAAATTATGTTCATTTGCATCCACTCATTGAACTGCACGTGCTGCGTAACCTTGATCAGTTTTTATAATGCACTACGATTGAATACATATATTATGGGTTCCTTTAATTCTTTGTTTATTAATATATTATTATAATATTCTTTATGCAATTGTGTTCTATAAATTTTACATAATTATTTTTTTCTGTGTTTCTCCTGGTTTGGTATGTATATAATTTTCTTCTTTTTATATATTTATATTCATTATCAATTTTTGTATTTATGTAATATGTTTTTTAGATTACTGAATATATATAAAATTCTTCTGTAATGATCTATGTAAATATATTCTTCCTAAACGATTATTAGGAATCTTTCTGAAGTTTAAGGGATTTTTATTACGATGTATGTGATATATAAAAATATAGTAATATTGTAAAAATAAATGGAAAAATTACAAAAAACGACAGTCATTGTTTGGCATTGAAAATATTTGAGGCATTGTTTGGCATTGAAAACAAATGAAAACTGTCATCTGCCGAAAATTTCAATTCACTTATGAGCCTAGACAATATCAGAATATGTATAATAAATTCATGATTATGAATAAGAAAAATGAAATGTCTACATTATTATGAAAAGGAGCTGAGATGTGCCAGAAATTAAAATAATAATTGAAAACAAATGAAAACTGTCATCTGCCAAAAATTTCAATTTACTTATGAGCCTAGACAATATTAGAATATGTATAATAAATTCATGATAATGAATAAGAACTCAGGAGAAGAAATTGAAAATCTAATTAGTTACAATATTTCATTGCTATTAGAAAAATTATAATTGAAAATGTATCAAACATAAATGGAACGATCAATGAAATGCATTCTTAAAAAAAAAGACGTATATAAGAATTATCATCACAATAGCCCAAATAACCTTAATAATATAAAATAATATTCATAAATATATAATAATAGAAGTATTAATGTCTGATGAAGTATTGAATGACCATATTTATGGGTACTATCCATAGATCAAATTATTGGTACGTCAAGGTTCTATTTTACCATTTCTAGTTGCGGACGATAATTATGTAGTATAAAGTTTAATTAATTTTGCATTTATCAGAACACTATTAAGACTATCTTGAAATGTGACTTTAGAATTTGATATATGAATGATAAGTATTGTTAAGAGCCATCAAATCACTGGCTGATGGTTTAATGTGGATGACTCTTTTCTCAGTTAATTATTGAGGTTCAAGTTCAAGTATGCAGCATATCACATTGAAGAGCACCATCACATTGCATACACGAGACAGAGGACAACTTACTGAATAAGAAATGGTATTTGATGATAAATATAAAACCAAAACTATAGCCATATCTCACTTTAAGTTGTTTCATTTTGAGTTCTTTTTTTTCTAAATTGGGATGCTGCAATTGTAACGATTTTTCACTGTGAATCATAAGATTTTAGAGATTTGAGTCTCAAGTTTTTAATATTATTGATTTTCTTATTTTTTAAAATTGGAGGATACTGCATAAATGAATTGCTAACCTCGCAGACGATCTAAAATTCTTTAATGAAATTCTACTATTTTAACTGGTATTGCAGTTTTCAAATCATGTAGATCATAAGTTCCCAAACTTTGTTTGTGTCGTGGACCCCTTACACTTTGCCATGGACTTCCTGTTTATCCGATATCGATTTTTTTTTTAATTTCTATTTGTACTAACGTTTAGTTTTAAACATATGAAGTATATAAATGTCTAAATAGTAGTAATATTTTAGACATTTATCAATTGACCTCGAAGTAATAATAAAATAGATATTAACAAGGTGTGTAGTGATCCTTTAAAGTTTAAGTAGTAATATTTTAGACATTTATCAATTGACCTCGAAGTAATAATAAAAAAGATATTAACAAGGTGTGTCGTGATTCTTTGAAGTTGTCATGGGCCACTGGGGGTCCAGGTGGACCCCTTTGGAAATCACTGATGTAGATGATAGGGTTCAATAGAGATCTCCGAAGAAAAAATCTAGACTTTTAATAAATTTTCTTCAAGAGACAGAAATAGTCTTAAATTGTCCTAGGTGATTACTTCGAATACCAATTGCTACAAGGATTTTTTTTATTATAAACAAAAGCAGCTATTCAGCAATCATTGGCCTTATTTTCGAAGTACAGAAAGGTGTTCGATTTTGTTTTATTGGAGTATGAAAGAATTTTTATATTGATCTGGGACTTACATATTTGTTTTTGCAAGAGTCAATAGGACTTTCTAAAGTAGTGTAGTAGAGTATATCTACATCATAATACAAGTGGAAATTAATTTTGACTTTTTTGAAAATAATATACTACTTTATTTGTGAAATCCAAGTTCGAACCTATAAATAACTATAAAAAATTAATTATGTTCGAAGAATTTCATATTTTTATTGAGAAATTAAATAATCTAAATATATGTCGAATAATTTGTTAAAAATGTTTAAATATTTGTGTGTAAAAATTTTTTTTAGCTGTTAATGTAATGTACTATAATATAATTTTGGATGTGAGTATAAACATTTAATATCTGTGGGCTTATTCTTTTATTGCACTAATTGTTACATTACATTAAATATTGGTCAATAAGAAATTTTGAATATTTGTGCAGTGATGGTTTCATATCATAACATGTTTTTTATCTATTATCATTAACCAGAATTTCATGTATCTTGCAAAATACGTTTTTGAAAATTGTTGAAGTTGAGTGCCTTTGTCATCGAAATGCACAGAATCATGGTCTTAGAGATAAACATGTGCTCTGATTTAATTTACTAAAATTTACTATATATATATATATATATATATATATATATATATATATATATATATTAATATTAGTAATGCTTATATATTATTTTATATTAATATAATATATAATATTAATTTTGATTTTACTTGAAACAAATTAATTTTACATTCTAATAATACTTACAAAGTTAAACAAATTTTTTGCTACCTGTATTGATTACTTGGAAAAGCAGATTTTGCAAAACCAAAGCAGAAAAATCTTTATTTTTTAAAAAGACATAATCATGAATAATCTTTGTACATTCTTTACTCAATTCTGCATTTGTCTTAATGTCTTGATTGTAATTGGATATCTGATGTTCCACTGTTTATTTCTTGACGATGCATTGACTTCAATCAATAATATCAATTCAACATATAATATAATAGCAAGTCTAGACTGAAATATAATTCAATGAAGCCCATTGTAACATATGAGCAAAACATCAATAATAATAATGCAGAAAATATATTTAAATGTGATTAGTATCAAATGTACATGTATGATACGAAGGACTCGATTTTGAATCAAATATATGCACCTATTCATTATATATGGTTCATTAAACATTTCTTTAAAGACCTCGAGTTATATAAAAATATCGATTTCATCAATAAATCTGAACAAATATCCTTGAATTATTAAATACAAACTTGAAAAGATAACTCTCTTATTGCATTATAGTAAACAATACAAAAGATCACATAACTTTAGGTAATTTGGAGAATTACTTTTAATGGGCTTATCTATTGATGAGTTTATTTTACAAAAATTTGATTTATCTGTAAAAAAATAAATCAGCATGTGTAATTATTGAGTTGACATTAAATGAATAATTATTTTATTTCAGATAAAGATGGAAGAAGCAAATACAGACTTTATACCAGACCTGCCTGCTGGTCCTTTAGATCTTTATAGAAAACGTGCAAAATTTTCCTGGAAAAAACTTCGTGTTATATTTGAGGATCCAGAATTACTAAGACTGAAAGTATGTACTTTATATATCTGCATAAAAAATAATATGATTGTTTTTGTGTCATAAATGTGGCTGAAGTCGTAGTCCTTAGATACAATATTCAGAAAATATTATTATTCAAATTTGCAGTCATTCAAAATATTATATTTGAATTTTTTTGTATTTATTAATTACTAGAAGAAGAATGCTGCGTGCTTTCCAATATTTTTTTCATTTCAGTTACATAATTTGATATTGAATAATCATTGTTTCTACATTTTATAGCTAAAACGTTAAATATAATTAATTTAATTTTTTTGTATAAGTTATTGATAATGTTTCTTAAAATCTTCTAAGCACTAACAGTTTTTTTAATCATTTTTTATTATAAAAGGCGGTTTTACCTTTTATTAACAATTTTTATACCAAGTGTAGTCAATCATCAAATATTCAATCTTTTGGTTTAAAAAATAAATAATTTTTATATACTTGATCTTAATCATAAGTTCTCGAACAAGATAGTAATAAGAATAAATTTAAAATTGTTGTATTAGAGTCCATAATTTTTATGGACTCTTAAATATATTGTGCTTATTCTTTCGTATATTTTTATAATATTTAATATTATTGAATACTCATATTGGATTTTGTACAGTTGGATATATAATGGATAGTATATTTTCAAAAGTAATATTTATTTTTTAGTAATTTTCATATTACATATCCAACGTTAAAAAAGTATTTTTCATAAATTTATTAATAGTTTGATTAAACTCATTTTTTCTGTGTATTTTTATGATATTTAACGTCCAAGTGTTATCTCAATGGATTCGCTATAGTTTTAATATTGAAATTAAATTTCAAAAATATTATTTAAAAATACAAATATAATACAAAATGATTTTTGTGAATATTTATCTTCTTATATATAAAAATGAATTGCAAAATGTGTTGGTAAGCGCATAACTCAACAACGCCTGGACCAATTTGGCCAAATCTTTTTTTAAAATGTTCGTTGAAGTCCGAAAATGGTTCGTACGGCGAGAAAAAATCAAATAATTGTCGGGAAAACCCTAAAAACTGCCTTTTTTTCTCATACATACATACAAATATTTTCTCTACATTTTCTAACTAAAACGTAGAATCAATTTGAGCTTTATTGCTATTAAAGATCATATTAAATTACAAGCACTAACTGTATACTTCTTCTAAACGATTATTCGGTTTTTGATAAATCTTTCTGAAGTTTATTAAGAAAATTTTCTAGGATGTATGTGATTATAAAGTACTGGGATGTATGTGCAGTTAACAATATATTATATTTAAGACATTCTTTAGAATACTTTTATGATTTTTAATATTGCCGTCTTTAGTTATTGAGTTAACTATTTTAGTTTTTACTATTGAAAGTATATTTTTAATTTTGTACAAAAGTATTTTTATGAATTGTATCTACCATATAAACAAACAAATTACTACATGAGTGTAAATTAAGGATAAAATTATTGCATATATTTAAAAAAGATAATGATAAGACAGACACAACAGAAACAAATATTTATCAAACATTTTTTATTTTAAATTATTTATGTAAATTTTTAGTAATGTTTATTTTACTAATTTGCACAAATATATGTATTATCTCTGTAAATAGCTTTGTAGCCTGTATAATTTTATCAATTTGAATAAAAATTTTAATGATATGAACAAATAATGAAAAATTGAATCTAGTTACAATCGTATTTTAGTTAATGTAAAAATAATATGATGTTTTTAATCTTAATTCAGTTTTATTTTTTTATTTCAGTATGAAGTATGGAATTCATTAGAGAATGATCCTTTGTATTCGAAGCCACCCATGCCGTTGACGGCCGAACAGCAAAAGCACAGGACTGCGAAACAGTATTGCGCAACGGCCCAGAATAACTTTGTACCTGATTCTTTATATAATGCTCCTTATAGTAAAAAGGTAACATATGATTTTTTTCTAAATCTTTGAGGTTGATGAGATAATATATAGAGAGATATATACAGACAGGTATATTTGATCTTGTTTGGAAGAAGTCTAGCAATGTCAAGGTTTGCATAAATGGAATAGAGAATTCTTGTTATTCTTTATTCCTATATCTTAATATGAATGATTTATTCAAAGATAGAATTTGGATTAGTTGCTGCATCGAATTAAAATAGTACCATCAGTATTAGATAAATTCTAGTAATAAAAATCTATCAAATTTATATAAAGAGAGGCCAACCGTTGGGTTGTCTTCTAAAAGCGTCGCTATTAAGGGGAGAGCCTGCTTAAATGTCTTCCAAAACTAGCCAAGAATATATCCCTTAAATTTCAGAAACAAATTCAAATTATTTCCCGCCTCAAGGAGCAGTATCATCACAACACCTTATAGAACTGTTGAGTTCTGATTGCTGTTCCAAAATAATTAAACAAAATATTTTTTTGTAACTCTGCCAAGTGCTGACATGTTTTATCCAATAAAACAATTGCTGTTCAAAAATTGATATGCTAAAAGTAAATTGATATGCTTTAGTAAAAATCATATTTGTCCTATTCATATTTGCATTCATTATTTATTGTGATTCATTTATTTTATTTATTCTTATAAGGGTTTCATATTTTATGGACAATAATTTTTACCATAGGCAGGTCCACGGTATGGGAGCACCATAAATCAATAATTTCCTTTCCCTTCCTTGTTTATTGTTCCCAATACCATTTTATTACCATAAGTCACTTTTTACTCACTTTTATGAATTTTCCTTTCATTAAATACTATTTGTTAATATTTTACTATCATATCATATCATATGTTTATTTATTCATTTATTTATTTTTTTAAATATAAAGCCCACATCTTTCTTCCAAGAGGACTTAAAATTACAATTAATACACATCATTTATTGGTATATATTGCAGTATTTATTTAGTATGACAGTATTTAATTTTTTACCATAAGAATAAGCATTAAAAGAGCATAAAGAGCTCAAATTTTATGTTTCCCAAATTGCATATTTTTTTACATGCCAGCAAAATTTATTAATATATCTTTTTGATATCAACAGTACTACTCGATATTAAAAGTGTTGATCTTAACAAACATTATAGTATAAATTCAATAATTCAATTTCATTGATTTCAAAATGACATCTATATACAAAATTTATATTTAAAATTAGATTCAATTTAGATGTGAATTCAATTTCATTATTGTATAAATTTGTCTGATATCTGTTCACTTGGATCTTTGCATGTTCTTTTTTTTTTTTTTTTATTGGCTTTATAAACTGGTACATTAGCCATATACTAAATTACATAATATCTACACTATCTCTTACATATATATCATTGTTTTATGTATATTGCATTTATAATTTTATATTATTACATTTGATGTAAATATAAAGAGCTCCATATAATCTTGTATCTGTCATTTGCATGTTCTTGGCATATATCTAAAGTCTAGATATTTAATCAAGATAATTGTATTCCATACTCTTCTGCATATTCATTAATTCGTTTTATCATATTGATTTTAACATACATTATTTTGTTCATATCCTAATTTACAATTTTACATTTTAAATTAAATTTTATTACCACCATACGGATTTATAGACATATAAATGCATTTGGTACTGCAGATTACACTGTAATTACTTTTTTTTCATATTCTAATTTACAATTTTACAGAGTTTTTTAAATTTTATTACGATACTTTGACATATAAATGCAGTTATTAATCTGCCAAGTCCAGTATTTATAATTGTTTTATTGTACGAAGTGCCAAGATTCAATCTATGTACCTCTTTCATGCAAGTATTTCCATTACATTTCATTATTACATATTTCCCTTACATTCATGCTTGCCACAATAATTTTTTTATAAAATAGTATAGTAATCTTTAGGAACAATGGAAATGAAGTATAAAAACCATTAATGTTGTTCTAAATCAGCGGTCTGGGAACTTTTTTAATCATTACCCCAAAATGTTTTTGTCTCAGTTGATATCACCCTATGGCGAAGAAAGATTACATAATAATAATAATAAATGGTAGTCTGAAGGCAGGTCCATGGTGTGAGAGCCACCACAAACGAATAGTTCCCTTACCCTTCATCCAATTACCACTATTCCCCATCCCCATTTTTTCATTTCATGTACTTTCCTTTCCAAACTTCTGCTTCCATGCTTCTTGATCCTGTGCTTCGGCTTTCAAGTCCCTGTATTTTCTCTTCTCACGTAAGTCGTCAATCGTCTGCATTCTTTTTCTTGCCATTTTTTTGTTCCTTCTATTTTACCCTCGACGACGTAGTGCAGGAGGCACTCTTTTTGCAAAAGAGGTCCGATCCAGTTTTCTTTTCTTCTCAGAATTGTGTTCAGTAGAGTCCTTTCTTTGGCCACTCTTCTCGGGACTTCTTCATTTGAAACTTTATCTGTCCAAAATATATACTTTTTACTCAAAAAAATTTTATTTTTACCCAATTTGGGGTAATTTAACCCGGTTCTCCGACTGCTGGTCTAAATTTTTGTATATTTCTCCTTTTTCAGACGCGTCATCTTATGAGTGTAAATGAAGCAGTTCATGCAGTTTGTCCAAGTATATCTGTAAAATTAGCCTTAGGCGTAGGATTGTTCACAAATGCACTTTTAGCCATGGGTACTGAAAGACATCTACCAATATACCAAGCAGCTTGGAAAAGAGAGGTATTAACTAATATTCCATCATATTTCTAATGAAATTTTAATTAACTTCTTGTTCCTAGATAGTGCCTTGCATAGCGTTGACAGAATTATCTCATGGAAGTAATACAAAATGCATCAGGACAACTGCAACATATGATCCTTCAACGCAAGAATTTGTTATACACACTCCTGATTTTGAGGCTGCGAAAGTATGGATAGGAAATTTAGGTAGAATCAAGGAAATATTGTATTTGAGAATATCTTGCTTAGGAAGTTATTGTTTTTAGGCAAAACAGCGAATATAGCATTACTTTTTGCGATTCTGCATACAGCAGATGGAACTAGTCAAGGGCTACATGCGTTTTTGGTACCTATAAGGGACCCAAAAACTATGTTGCCTTATCCTGGTGTTACGGTGGGTGATATGGGAGATAAAATTGGTCTTAATGGGATTGATAATGGGTAAGTAGATTTTAATGATATTGGATTTTTGTATTAAAATTTTTATTGGATTTTAAAACATCATTTTCTGCACGTTCTATGAGCTGAACTGACCAACTTTTTTCCTGTAATAGAACTTATATTATATTGCAATTATTAGTTATATATTTTAACTACATCAACGCTTCTTTTTTTTTATTTGTTTTTTTTTTATCACTTTTAGATTTAATATATTTTTGTTTTAAATCTCATTTATTTTCTTGGATCTATTCTTCGAGTTAAAAACTTCCATTGATACCTTTATTTTGCATTCATATTAAAATTCTCTTTTTATCAATAGGTTTGTATTATTTGACCATTATCGGATACCTAGGGTGAATCTTCTGAATCGAACAGGTGATGTTACTCCTGAAGGAGTCTATGAGAGCGTTTTCAGTGAACCTGGAAAAGTTCTTGGAGCAGCATTGGAAGCTCTATCTGCTGCACGCATAGGCATCATGCAGGTAAAAGATAATTATATTTGCCCCATAATATTTTTTTTATGATCAGTCTTTGATCAGAATTTTAGAGCCTTTCTTATAAGCTACTGTTAGGAATTGACTTAACTACATTGCTTTTTCATAAGACAACCCAATAGTTAGCCTATCTTAAATTGATTAAATTATTACTACAATTTCTTTAATACTGATGTATTTTTTATTGTTATAACAATACTGGGTGAGGGCTATTTTTACTTGGTATTGTATTGTTATCTATTTTACTATAATTTATAGGTGATTTATAATATATAATAGTTAAATTTATATTATTAATATTATAAGAATATTAAAACTAAAAGAATGCTAATGTTATATGCAATTGCAACCATGACGAATTCCATAATAATTTTACTAATAATGAATTAAATCCATATAATAGATAACTTGCTCGGTTCTTAGTAATTGTAATTTATTTAAAAATGTAGGTAAGAGCTCTGACATCCTGATATCAAGCAGTGATTTACTTTATTGCTTGAAAATAAATCTAAGCATGATTTCAAGTGAAAATAGCCTTATGAGACATTACTGTAATTAATTAAAAACATCATTTTAATTACAAATAAAGTATTTCACAACTAGAAAAAGGAAATCCATTGGTTTACCTTTTATAATAGCGTTCATAATATATAATTTAATCACAGTAGCATATAGAAAACTAAGGTGTTCTGATAGAAACATATAGATTTAACTAAATGGCATAAAATGATTTTGGTTGATGGCATTTGTTTATAATTTCATAAGTATATATTTATTAATAGTTGAATTTCATTAATATATTATCTAGGAAAGTTCAAATAATAGTCTGGCACATGCAGCTATCATTGCTGTGCGGTATGCTGCTGTTCGAAGGCAGTTTGGGCCCCAGAAGGATGCCGAGGAGAAACCTATTATAGAATATCAATTACATGTAAATAATAATGTTTAATACTTCAAGAAAATGTTCTCTAATTATTTATCAATTTATTTTTATATTTTAGCAATGGCGAATATTTCCATATTTGGCAGCATCATGTGTGTTGAAAATTTCAGTTGGCATGCTCACAAATCGTTACTTGAATTTTGTCGAACAATCACAACAATCGGAAGTTAATCAGTTGGACCAAATGGTAAATTTGTAGAGTATTATATCTAGTATCTGTTATAGTTTATTTTATTTCACTTAAATTATTGTGCAAATGGTAAATTTGTAGAGCATAATAACTAGTATCTGTTATGGTTTATTTTATTTCATTTAAATTATTGTGCAGACCCAGAAAGTTGCAGAAATCCATGCTTTAGTATCATCTTCGAAGCCTTTAGTGACTTGGACAGCACGGGATGCAATTCAAGAAGCCAGGGAAGCCTGTGGTGGTCATGGATACTTAAGAGTAAGTTTATTAAAAGTATAGTTACTAGCAAATTGCGTTATTTATTAAAAATTAGTATTAGTTGGATATGATTTTACTTATATACTTGTCAAATGCAGATTTTTTGTTGTATTCAGATAAATTTAACAAATATTTGGATGTTTTTATATAATTATGTATTTATGGTAATAAATCAGAAAACTCAAATATAAAATGATCAGAGTTTAAAAGTATTTAATTATTATACACTAGTATGTATAAAATATATATCTTAGATCTATTACACTTTATTCCTTTCAGGAATATTTATTTTATATTCAATTCAAATAATTGTTTATTATTTATTTTACTAGGGAGCTAATTTAGGTGAATTAAGAAACAATCATGATCCCAGTGTTACTTACGAAGGGGATAATAATGTTTTAGGACAACAAACTTCTAATTGGTTACTAAGACAATGGACAAGTAAGAATTTAGAAACACCATTTAATACGGTTAGATTTTTAGAAAGAAAGGAGCAAATACTGTGTAGGAAGTTTTCTGGATCAAATATTGGGGATGTTATGAATTACAACTGTAAGTTAATTTTGTTTTTACTTTTTTCACTATATATAGTATTAACCATTTATGTGTTTGACTTATAGTTGTTAATGATTTATATGAATGGCTATTGTGCTGGTTAATGAAAAGTACTCATATGAAGATGAATAAAGAAAAAGCTAATGGAAATTGCAATTTTGATGCAAGAAATAATGCACAAGTATATTTGGCCAGAGACTTAACAAGAGCCTATGCTGAATTTTATGCAATTAACTGCTATATGTAAGTATTGTTTAACAACTTTTAATTAATTAAATATCATGGTAAAAATTACTTGCATCACAGTGTCATAATAAGTTTGTTGTATAATAACTTTTTTTTTAATATTATTATTTATTTTACTATAGAGAAAGATGTTCAAAACCTGATGTACCTCATGAACTTAAAGATGTCTTACACTCTTTGGGCCTAATCTATGCCTTGTGGTGCCTCGACAAACACTTACCTTCATTCTATCAGGTAACAAAAACAAATGTTCTGTTAAATCTGATTGTTTGTATATTTGTTTAAAATCTTACAGGGCTGCTTTGCTTCTGGCAGTATCTTTGCTGATTTGTTACGAGAAGGCCTTTTGCACCAGTGTGCTCTTATTAAAGACTCTGCAGTTTCTATTGCAGATAGTTTGGCACCACCAGATTTTGCACTAAATTCAGTTATTGCCAAATCTGATGGAAAGGTATGCATTATACTACAAACCTACATTTTATTCAAAATTTGTTTACAAGATTATATATATATATATATATATATAATATAAATATATATAAATATATATATATATATATATAATATAAATATATATAAATATATATATATATATATATATATATATATATATAAAATAATCAATTCTAATTAAATCTATTTTAGCTTTATCAAAATTTGCAAATGGAGTTTATGACAAATCCTGGAGCATTGGAAAGACCAGATTGGTGGAGAGATATTCTGCCTTCAAATAAAATTATCTCTAAATTATAAATATAATTTATTATCGTATCTAAATCTGTCCATACTTTTTATTGCAACTTATTTAATGAGTGTTCAAAATTATACTTAAAAAACATATTTATTAATTGTTAAGATCTCTATTTTTAATTATGATATTTGCTATAGGCACTATATTGATCTGCTATAAAGTAAGACCCTTATATTTATCTGAAAACAATTCAGAGAAATCATAAAGTTCGTTTTCCTTATATAAATTTTAATAAGTATTATAAAAAAAGTATTTAGAAAGAAAAACTATTGTATTATATTTTTCTAATCATTTAGATAACATTAATACTAAATATTTATTAAAGTATCTGAAGAATAGTTTTTTAATTGTTAATTTGTTCATAGTTTTAAATCGTTTAAACACACAATTTGCTCCTAAATAAAAGCCAACATTTTTCTGATTTGAATTCGAACGTGTAGTAAAGTAAAATATAAAAAAGCCAATTTTTATTTTTTATTATCTATAATAGATTTGTTATGAATATTCTAAGTTTATTTTTTATACCCCTGTATACTTATGAGGCCACATTTTGAACATAGTTTATAAACAAAATTTTATGATCTAAATATTATATTATATAAATTATTTTATAGCATTATTTTATTAAAAATGTTATGTAATTAAATTGCAGAAATGATAAAATATTGTTTGAAATTGGTTTAGATATAATAGATGTTAATGAGGCACATATTTATAAATTTTATGCAATTTTCTGCATAGTTAATGATGTTGAATATTACAAAATTATTTAGCAAAATAATACACAAAATTATTTAGGAAAACACATGAAAATTATAGAAAATATAACTTAATATATCTACTTTTTATTTAAGCCAAGATTGGAGTATATAATTGTCGTAAACTAGAGTTTTGCATTCAATTGATGCTTACATTTCAACAAATGTTATTTTGCAAAAATAAAAACGATATTAATTAATTAATTAATATTGATACAAGTAGCAAGCTGTTGTCTTATTTGTTTAATAAAAGATTGAAATGTTTTCAATTTCATAAACAAATAAATGAAATTTATGTTGTAAAAAATTGTTGATCTTAGGATCACATACACACACACACATATATATATGTATATATATATATATATATATATATCAAATTCAACGTAACTTAATGTAATGCCTAAATATATTTTATAATTTTGCAGTATTGAAATTTTCATAAATATTTTATATACATGTTGTAGAAATATATATATGTGTACAAAATATTAAAGTCTTTCAAACATCTTAGAGTCTGAAATTAATCTTTTAATTTTTTTTAAAAAATTACATGTATAATATATTAAATAATTTTTAAGTCCACCTGTTAAATAACAGAAATTTAACAGGAGGACTTAAAAGACCAAGATAATCCGGATTATCCTCAGCAGGCCTGCATATTATTACATTAGAGGAAACAGGTTCAAGTAATCACATTTTATTAGATTATTTCAATTTGGAATGAATTTTATTAATATAGTCCTTATATTACATTGTTATTGTTTATTATATTGCCTATGATTTTGGGGATATTTTATTTAATTTGAATTAAAACGGTCATTCAAATAATGTTTGAATCAACAAGTAGTTTGACCTTGCTGAATGGCATATACAAATGTCATGTGTTTTATTTAACTTTTATTTTCTAAATTAATAAGTTTGATTGTGTTTTAAAATTGTCAAATTTAAGTTCACATATTTCAAAATTTGCACAGTACAAAATGCTTAAACAAGTAATATTTATTTGAAATATTCCATTTGTATATCTTTACAAGAATTTATAGAAATGTCAATTTTTCAGGCACAACTCATAACCAGGTTATTTTCTAGTATAGACAATTGCTCTAGGAGATATGCAAGTTCTTTATATACTACATTTGAAGAAAAGGATGGGGTCAGGCATATTACATTAAATCATCCTAAAACAAGGTAATAATACACACAAAAATGTCTTATAAAAATTTTCTTATAAAATTGAGTAACACGATAACAAAACAGGAATTCCCTTTCAATGGACATGATGTGTGATTTACTAGATAACATCACCAAAGGTCAGGATGATCCCCAATTGCGTTGTATTTTATTATCAAGTACAGGACCTGTGTTCTCGGCTGGACATAATCTAAAAGAACTTGTATGTATGATATAATTGATATTAATTTTGAATTTATTGTCTAATGTAATGTGTTTTAGACTGCAGATTACAAAATTGATGATCATGCCAAGATATTCTCCAAAGCATCAGAATTGATGCTTTCTATTGTCAGGTCACCTGTTCCAGTTATTGCCAAAGTAGGTATAAGATGATTATTGATTAAATTAAACTGTTATTTCAGAAAAATATTAATAAAAGGCTTTAATTGGTTAGGTTAATGGTTTTTAGCAGCTGCAGCTGGTTGCCAGCTTTAGCAAAATGTGATATAACAGTTTGTTCAGATAAGAGCACTTTTTCTACACCAGGGTTTGTTAAATATAAAATACAAAGATTATAATAATATAATGTTTGATTAAATATTATTCTTTCAGGGCAAACTTTGGAATATTTTGTTCAACACCAGGAATCGCTGTAGCAAGATGTGTGCAGAGGAAAACAGCACTTCATATGTTATTAACAGGTTTACCATTAACTGCGAATGAAGCTCTTACTGCTGGTTTGGTTCAAAGTACGCTTTGATCAATTTTTTAACTTCAATCATTTGCTTTGATAAATAATTTAGTTTAGCAAAATCTTCACACTAAATATCAAGACCCATTCATTGAATTTTGTCATTTTACTGCTACATATTACAGAACGATGGTCACTTTTAATCATTTTCTATACTGCTTCTTTAACTCCATCTTGTATACAAGAAGTATTCATTATTCTTGTATTTCATCTATAATTTATTATATTTTATACTTTAAGGTAGTATCTGAAGACTACGGATAGGAAATTGACAAAATAATATCCTCCATTGTTTCTAAAAGCAGACCAATCATAGAATCAGGCAAAAGATTTTTCTACGAACAAGCTAACACGAGTTGGAAGATGCTATGATGTAGCGGTAAAGGCAAAGTTATGGTGAGCAACGTTAATTCAAATGACGGGCAGGAAGGCATTAAGAGTTTGTGGAAAAGAGGAAACCTTCATGGAGTCATGTTAAGTGAAAGAGGAATGCATATTAAAAAATACTCAACTGAATTGAATTGTAAATAAAAGGATATCATGTACAATATTTTATGTAAGTGTTAATAGGTAATAAATTTATAATTGAATTTTATATATGGTTGACCGCATACTTTTATGAAAATCTTATATACATTTGTGAATAATAAGTTAACAGGTTTATTTGTGATTTGAAAAGCATTAAGGATTGACTACTAACCCCCCAATTTATTTTGCTAATAACGTTACTAAGATTGTCTTTTTTCAATTGTATATAATTATAAACTTATAACCAGTCTAGTAGTAGTATGATTAAGGAAATAATACATAATAGGTACAAAAAAAATATTAGGTGTAGAATTATATTCAACAGTATTTAGGCTTTTTTATTACACATGTAAAAATAATAGTAAAGTAATACCTTAGGAGACAGTACATTTTTAAAACTCTTACATCCAGTTTTTGAATTTCAATTAACAATCTAGTATATTCTTTCTATAAAAGAATTTAAAGTGTGATGTTTATTTTTCCAAATTTGAATTTCAAATTTTTTATCGTTCAAGGTGGTACCACTTTTAATTTTTTTTCCCGCGCGCACATGTTGCCGGCTTGAGTCCGCCAAGCTGTCAAAATCTTGAGCTGTCAAAATCATCAGTGACCTCGTTGTGCAAATTAATTGAGGTGCCTCACAAATTTTTTTTACGCAAAATTTTTAGTTTTACACAATTTTATTTAAAAATATACATACTGAATTAAATTAAAATAGTGTTTTTCTTATATAGTCATGTTACGAACTATTGTTCGAAGGGAACTAATAGAAAATGGACTTAAACGATGTATTAAAGGAAACGCTGTTAAATGTTTAGGGGTGCAAGGAATACAGTATAGATATGCTAAAAGGTAACGTAATATAATTAAATAATAATAAAACACATGTTGTATTCATGTACTAGTTATGTCATCGAATTAGTTTTATGAATATAAAGATAGCCTCTTGTGTATTAGATTATCATTTATCAAACATGATACGTTACGTCATGTGACAATGTTATGTCAGACTATTTTTAAATTATTATTTTGATCTTGTTTTTTATACTATTTTCGTCCTAAAGAAATCACTAACTCATATAAATTATCAAGGATACACGTGAGGATTATTTTTAATATCACTGGCGATATTGATTCAATTCTTGAATTAAATGCTTCCTGCGTAAAAGTCTTTTATTATGGTATCAAAACTGTTAAAAACTTATAAAATTCAACTTGTGTATTTGAAAATACAGTTTTGGAATTTTGTTATAATTTCACGTGATTTAAGAAGGAGAATCAATAATACTTTTTATTCATTTATATTCAATGATTTGTCTTGAAATACTATAGATTCTGAAATTAGTTTAGACTTTCAACTAAAACGGCAAAAACTTTGTTAAAAATACCATGGACATATATCTTTGAATATTTGATAAAAATAAAATAATGGCCAAAACTTTATTTAAAAATCCATGAATAGATCTTTGAATATTTGATAAAAATAAAACTTTGTTTAAAAATTTAATGGTTCATGGTCTAAAGTGAAAAGTTTTTAAATAAGTATAATGAAAGATTATTATTTCACAAAAAGGATAATAGCTACTTGACATGCAACTGAGCTTGTGTTTTTTGATTTAATAAAATTTCTAATGATAATGTTTCATATTTCTACCTTATTTCTTATATACAATACTATAATGAATAAATTTCACGTCATTGTAAGAGTTTCTAATTAGCAAGTATTAGCGAAATAATACTTTTAATTTTGCATATTTCAATAACTTGTGCGAAAAAATAGTACACCTGTTATAAATTTACGAGCAAGGTTACCTAGAAGTTTTTGGTTTTCCTCATAGTTTTGTCTCTTGTAAAACAAAATGTTATAGTATAATGTAAATGGTTATATATTTTCATAAAATCATAAAATAG